GGCAATCATGTGTTGAGAGAAACAAAGACAATTTTTACCATTATGGTTTTATCAAATTCAGTCATACTCTGGGTCTTAGTCACTGACTGAGAAAGGTTAATTTTATCTTTTGAAGGGGATACATGCCAATTAAGTGAATATAAAACAGGAAAATTACTTTTAAATAAAGTTAGTCTGGTTTGTTTCAAGGTTCTTATACTATTTAATTTCTTTTTTACCAAGCATATCAATTACTATGATTTTTATAAATGGCATAGTAATTTTTAAAGAACAAAAAGAAGCGAGTCTAAAAGGAGGAGGAAGGAGAAGAGGACAAGATAGGAAAAGAACATTTATTCAGACCCATTTAATACAACCATCTCCTACCAATTTATCCCTCTCCTTTTCTCTCTGAAATCAATAAAAAATATTTTTTAAATGTTTGAAATCCACTAACCAACATTCTTATTTTACAGATGAGGGGACTGAGGCATGGAATGATTAAATAATTTGTTCAAGGTGAGCCACATGGAGAGAAGCAGGACCAGGACCACAGCCCGGGCTCCACAGCACCATATGGGGGGAGGGGAGACAGGCACTGTGAGGAGTTCTCAGACCGAAGCACTCCTGTCAGCCCTCATTTAGTACCATTGCCCACCTAAGGTGATGCCAGCACTTGGTGGTCACTTCTGAAACGACACCATTTAATGTCTGAACCACTGCTTGGAATTTCATCATATATTGCTTCTTTAGTCATATGTATACTGCTTGCTTGAATTTATTCTTACTTGAATTATCTGATATTTTTACCAAAACAGTTATTTTGAAACAAATCAACCTCTGAAAGAGCCTGGTATTCACTCTCTAGCAAAACAGGAGACTAGAGAGACTCTTTCCCTCAGTTCCTAACTTCTCTTCTTTCTCTTTTGAAGTCAAGAACATTTTTATTCTAGGCTTACCCCAATAGCCTTGGCAGCACTGGACCAACTCATCAAGAAGTAAGATTCAGAGACTGGAAATTAGTCAATAAGACATTGTGGTCTCAATTTTCTAACCATTTCTAATTACATTGCACATTACATTGTCTTGAGTTGATATTTTTGTCATGATGCAGATTAGGATGTCATTAGGGTCACACTGGGGTAAAAATGTCTTGGTTCTTATCTAGGCCAACTGTGACTGTCACTTGTTAGAGATAGACACTCGTACCCAGAGAGAGTAGGACCACGGCTATGCCTATTGCTTCCAAGTCTTGAGGGAATCTGTGGCTTTTGGAAACCAAGTGCCCCCAAACAGCTTTCTTGCTGTAGAGACAATGACAGCATGAGGACCCGTGGTCAGAAAGTTGCATGCCAATAACTTCAGAAATCCAAAAACCAATAAATTATATAGAAAAAATATTAACTCTTGGTGTGAGTGTGTGTGTGTGTGTGTGTGTGTGTGTAATTGTCTAGGATATCTATGAACAACTGTGCAATCATGACAGCAATAAAAATAATAATTGCTAACATATAACACTTAATACTTTGAAAACAGAGAGGCTAAGTTACTTGCCCAAGGTCACACAGCTCATAACTAGAAGAACCAGAATTTCAGCCCTCGCCTACTGGTTCCAGAGTTCTTGTTCTTAACTCTTGGATATCCTACTTCTCATTTTTATTTAGTTGGCTCTCTATTAACATAACCAATACATAACTCAAGTTTGTTTTTAGATCCCAACATGACAGGTGATTAGTTCAAACACAAACAAAAAATTCTATTTAAATTCAGTTGTTTTCTCTTCCCAGGGAAGAGAAAACAACTGAATTTAAATAGAAAAAAAAAGTTTTAAAGTATTGCTTATAATCATTTAAACATATGGTCCAGAAATGGCAGTATTGATATATATATATATATTAATAGATATATGTTTGCTTAGTAAATCTGTATCTCATTTCTTGTTAAATGCCAAGATATGTTTTTAGACCTCAATGCTCCATGGTTTCAATAGTGTTTCTTACAACCCACTAAAGTTTTCTAAGAATTAAGCCTTACCTCCCTGCCCCTCCTCAGACTGCAGTCTGCACATGCCACCTACAGGCATAACATGATGCTGGTTTTCTCAGGGCAGCCAACAAGACTGCTTAACTGACTGTCATCCCTACAAACGCTGGGAGGCAGAGTGGAAGTCAAGGCAAAGGCCAGGGGGATAGTTAGCACAAAACCAGTGACACTGACAGGGACAGCAGTGGAGGAATAAAGAAAATGGCAACTACCGTATTTTTCGGACCATAAGACACACCAGTTTTTAGAGAAGAGAAATAAAGAAAAAAAGATTCTGAAACAAATAGTGTCCTAAAATATTTTATGTGCATTAAAACCCAACATCACAGTCATAAACACATGTAATCAACCCTGTAAAGTAAACAGCAGCATTTAGAACCATTTTAGAGCCGGGCAAGCACACAGAGACCACACAGAGCTGGGCAAGTAAAAAAACTTTTTTTTTAAAGTATATGTGTAGGCTATATTTGGACCATAAGACACAGGGACTTTTCCCTCCCACTTCTGGGGGGGAAAAAAGTGCGTCTTATGGTCCGAAAAATACGGTAATTGGGAGAAAAGGAAACAGAGTGGTTACCTCCATTAATTGAAAGGCTGGGAAAACTACAATAGAAAAGAGGACAGCAATTACAGACTGGAAACAGAATTTATCGTTTACCTACTAGTAAATCCAAACCACCATGCCCTCAGGTAATGATTGCAAGGCAAAAGAGATCCTTCTTCTAGGAAGGCAAACCCGGAAACACAACATAGGCTTTAAAAAAATACTACACATTCTACAGTAAACCTTCTCCCTCCAAGTCCAACGGCCTCCACTGTTCTGTTTCTGGTGCTTACACAATACCTTCTTAGTTTAACATAACAAAACTGCCTGCAATTCCATCTCGGGCAAGCCTATGATGGAGCAGATAGAGAAAATTCTTCTAGTTTTCCCAGTCCCTGTTTTAAAGTAGAAGCTTCAGGATTTCCAAGCCTGGTCCCAAGAGAAAAAACTATCCTCTAAATGAGGAGCTCTTTGCTGTTATTATTCACTTTCTTTCTCTTCACATGCACCAACTTGTTGACTGGCTAAAGAATGGCACACCTGCCAAAACTGGTTTGGCTCAGTGGATAGAGCATTGGTCTGCAGACTGAAGGGTCTCAGGTTCAATTCTGGTCAGGGGCATGTAAATTGGTTGCAGGCACATCCCCAGTCGGGGGTGTGCAGGAGACAGCTGATCAATGATTCTCTCTCATCGATGTTTCTCTCTGTGTGTCCCGCTCTCTTCCTCTCTGTAAAAAAAAAAAAAAAAAAAGAATGGCACACCTACCATCAAAATTTCACTTTTCATTTTTACTTTTAAAAATTTCTGCCTTCCCCTTAATCACTACTACAACATTTCAGATGCTCTGGTAAGCAGTATAGTATGTGGGAAAAGTACAGATTTTGGTTTAAATAGCAGCTCCACCACAAGTCATTGGTGTGTTTTAACTTTAGTTTCCTCTTTCATAAAAATAAAAAAATAAAAAAAAGCACGGGGAAGGGCACTTACACTCCCTATCTCATGCTGCAGGAATAAATGGGGATAAAGCATCTTTGGGGCCAGAAAAGGTCATTATAAACCTGTTATGTTTCTTTCTCCTAATTTATATGAAAAAAAGCAAAAAGAAAAAAGCATTATCTTTGTTCTTTATTTATTTGTCAAACCTTCCTGGGAACCTACGGTGTGCCAGATACAGAACTTAATACAATAGGTGTGGTTGTCTCTGCCCCCATGTAACTACAGGGGTCGAGGGGATAAAAATAAACAGCTCATTGTTAAATGAGTGGATGAATTTGCTTAAACTAATAAGGGAGGTGAGGAATGAATAAAGGCTCCATTTGGGTAAAAGGAAATGAAGCTAAATTTAGGGTACTCACTGTGAGCTCTGAAGCTAGACCTTGTGAGGGTCCGCCACTGGGCAAGTTTCTGAAATTCTCTGTTCCTCCCTTTCTTCTTCTCTAAAATGGAGATAATGGTAATTTCTCATTGGGTTTTTGTGCAAAGTAAAAGTAACACCCTTCCAATGCTCCCCACTTCTTTGTGGGCATTCATTCCACTTACCAACAGGCTTCCATTTAGCCTCTGACCATCTTGAACAATCAAGGAAGCACCCTGACTCAGAGGTCATCCACGTCCAAAAATAAAAACTGACAGTCCACCCCCAACCTTCGTGGGACCTAACTAGCTAAAACATGCTCTGGGCCAAAGCTGCCTAGAACATCTTTTGAGGCTATGCCCAGGCCGAAGAGTTAACAACCAGGAAAACCAGCACCTACAGGAGGTGTGGTCCTCTCTGCAGGGAAGTTGATTAGAATGAACTAGGTTTCTTGGTTAGAAAAACGAAGCTCTGAGCGCTAAGCTCAGCCCAGATGCTTCTGGAAACACAGCCTTTGCATTCCCACCTGAGTCTCCTGAAAATCTGACCTCCCCCATTGGTTCAGCTGAGGCAGCAGTCCTTGAAAAGAAAGGCAGAGCTGGAAAGTAAGGCCCAGGAAGTCCACGGTTAGGGAATCAGCTCGGTGTAGCCAGTTACTGCCGCAAATGCATAAGCCACATCCCTAAGTGTCCTCCTGCCCCAAATCATTGGTTTATTCAGCCAGGGGTCAGTCTGTCCCAAACATTTAAATCCGGAGGTAAAATGTTACATAAAAGTGCTAGAATGACACCCTCCAAAACAGAAACAAAACCCCTTCAGCTTCTTTTTAATAATAATAATAATAATAATAATAATAATAATAAAATGGGCACAAAAAACACTCAAATCAATAACAATAATAATAATGAAGTTACTTCTTAGCTTGACTGCCCTGGACCGGAAACCCCCTTTTTTTGTCCTGCAGAAGGCGGTGGGGCAAACAGGTGGAACCTGAAACAGCCCTGAAACCTACAAGCAGGAGACGCGCGGCCCAGGTCACCATGGAAACCGAGGCGGGGGCGGTCCCGGCACGTGGGCGGGACCGCGCAGGGGCTGCCGGGTAGACGCCGGAGTGGCAGCTGTGGGCTTAGCGCCTATTGAGTGCAGACAGTGTTCCAGCGTCCTGCAAGAGGTTAGCCCCTGCGGGGACCCGGGAAGGGAAGAAGAAAGTTGCTTCCCAGCCCAGCATCTCCAAAAATCTCACTGGTTAGAAACTCAGACCCCCCGTTCCCACGCCCGGCCTGATAAATCAAAATCTGCGCGGCGAGGACCCAGAATCTGGATGTCACCAGGTGCTTTATAGGGTAGGGAGGTTGGGAGGCACCGCTTTCGCCTAATCTTTTTACTCACCACCACCACCCTCTAATGGTAAAAGAATCCGCACCCCAGTGTCTCCCCAGCGCCTCTCAAGGCCGGAGGTGAAGTGGGGGGGAAGGGAAGGGAGGGGAGAGGAGTGGGAGGGTCCTTGGAGTTGGAAATGCAGAGCCCATTCAGCTGCTCGAATTGAGGTTTAGTAAGCTGCTCTTTGCGGGTTTCCCACTTGGGGGCAGCGTCGTTCTTCATGCCTGTGCATTGCGTAAAGCAGTGGTCTGGGGTGTTCCTGTTAATTCTGGCTGCAGTCTCCATATAAACTCGATTAGAAAGCGGAGCTTGGATGCTGAGAGAGATCTCCTTAGGAGGAACGGGGCAGTAGCAGAGCCTAGGGGGTCTTAACGTGAGAAGCTCTTAGCTCCAATTCTTGGTTTACACTTAAGGTTTGAGAACAAAGAATCCAGGCTTGTAAAGCAGTAAGGTTCCTGTTGAGAATGACACATGTGCACTAGACAACAGATTTCTCTGAGCCTTATCCTTTAATGGGCAATCGGGTGAGACCTCTGGATTGATTCAGACAGCCCTAGACTAGGCCCGGACTCTGGAAGACTAGTCCTGGAAAACCGCCAGTCTCACCTCATTTTCTGGTGAAATGTGAGAGGGATTCCTCCTGCGCTAATGGGAATCGCCATGGTATATAGTCCTCCCTGACAGTAAAACCTGGACCTGTAATATTTGCACAGCCTCCCGTAGAGGTCTGGGGGAGGCTCAGCTCAATAGAGGGGTATAATCTATGGGTCTCTACTATCTTATGCATTTACCATACCTTTTTATAATAACCTGTTTATAGGTCTGAATTCTGTGTTATTGCTGCATAGCCTATAAGTAGGCACATGTGCTTGTTTTATATTAGCCTGGAATGTACTTCTCCAATTCAAATTTCAGGATCCTATTTCTTTATGTCAGGGTTTTTTGTTTGTTTGTTTGTTTTTCAGAAGCTTTCCTAAATTAGCGTGTATTGTGACTCCTCAAGATATGCAGCATTTTTCACACTTACTTCCCATGGCACCTTTTTTCTAAGAGGGACATGCAGAGTAACTAATCCGCAGGACACACCCTGGGAAACACTAAACTGGAGTAACAATAACCTCCCACAAAGTCTGTATAAGGTAGCATGGTACAGATGCCTACATCTGGTTTTTCAGCGAAGTGATGGCAAAATAGATTTGGGCCGCCTTCTTCAGGAGAGGGATGGGAGCAGTCATTTGAAACAGAGAGGAGAAAGAATTAAGTTGCCAGGACAACACAGCAACAGTTATGTTTCAGGTGCTTGCTATTCTTTAATTTACAGCAGACCTCATATTATTGCATTTCACTTCGTGGCGCTTCACAGATGTTGCGTTTTTTTACAAATTGAAGGCAAGGCTCTCCACCAGCCAAAAGATTATTTACTGCAATGATGTGGAACTGAAACCGACAAATAATTGTAAAAATAATTAATTGAATATCATGTCTGAGCTTGTGTAGGCAGGAAGTGATAGGCTGGTATTTGGAGCCAGATCTTCCTGGAGTACATTGCAGAACCCAGGCCCAGCACCAGGACAGCCAGCAGGGGATTTGGGGAAACACTTGGTTTCATTTTAATGGTCACCTGAGCAATTAGCACTGGAAAGTGGGAAGGAGAATAGTCAGCTTTCAAAGAGTGAGCAGAAGGCCCCCAAAGTTGGCTTTATGGTGGCAGTATCTAAACCTTCTTCCAACAATATATATGGTTAGGAAAAATTAGGACATTTATTAGAATAGTGTCAAAACAGTGACTTAGTAACTGGCTAAATTTGCATAATAGTCAAGAGAGAGTCAAGTTTGTCTTTGAATTTCCTGGTTTTGTTGAATGGGAGAAGGAAATGCCATTTGTCAGGCTTGGCAACGGGAGAACCAATGTTTTTTATTTATTCTAAAAGAATCTTGTATATTTTCATTATTTTTCCATTTTGTTTTGATGGAAAGCTAATGAGTTAGAATGAACCTGAAGAACCAGTGAAATATTTAGGCAGACCAAAACAGGTGGAACTGGGGCTAGATTCTGAATTATACCAGTTTGGACTGCAGGTGCTACTTAAAATCATTAGCATAGACAGGATCAGCTGGAGAAAATGTCTTGTGACTCAAGAGGACAGACATTTCGGGACACCAGAGGAGAAAGCAGTTTTGAAGGTGACACCGATAGTCGTTTAAACTTGTTCTGAGTTTCCCATCTTTTGCCATGCTCTGCACAGACACAGAGCGGTAGCTGCTTTGCAAAATGGAGCAGGGTTCCTTCATGCTAAGGCTCCGTTTCCAGAAAGCAGTAGTACCAGGCGTCTTCAAACTACGGCCCGCGGGCCACATGCGGCCCGCAGAGGAGTCTGATCCGGCCCACCAGGTTTTTTGGGCAGTGAGCGCAGCCGAGGTGTTACAGTAGGAATTAGTAGTTCATATAGTCCGGCCCTCCAGCTCTCTGAGGGACCGTGATCTGGCCCCCACTTTAAAAAGTTTGAGAACCCCTGATTACAGAAACCCAGGAAACCTCTCTCTCTCATGTTTTAGGTTCACAGTCAAAAAAAAAAAAAAAAAAAAAAAAAGGCTGAATCCCCTGAGTGAGTGAATCAAAATAAACCATAACATAAAAGTCTGTGCATTCAGCTGGCTCTTCTATGCTTGCTGGGCTCATGAGAAGGCCCATTAAAGCACAACAAAGATGCTTTCCGGAGTTCAGGAGGCCACCAGGTCAGCGGGTGGAGTTCCTCCTGGAGGGCCCTCCCCCTATCAGCAGGCCTGGCCAGAATGCCTTTTTGTCTGCAGATCTGGCCCCGAGTTGGCCGGGCTCAAAGCACACATGTCTGAGAGAGACAGTCACCTGGCAGCCTCGCCGTGTGAAACTGAATAAGAAGTCCCAATGAAAGTGAGGATCGGAAATTAACCGCTGGGAAAGGCACACACGCTCAGCTGCTGAAAGAAAAGGGCCTGGGGCCTGCTGCTTTCATGTGTGGTTACAATGATAAACTAGCAGGTGGAGCTCGCAGATGTGAGAAAATACCTGACAGTTCTTACCCTTGAGTACCTCTTTGATACAAGGCAGTATCCAACCTTAAAAAAAAAAAAAAAAAAAAAAGTTTATTCCCAAAGTCATTTGTATGTCAGTTGTTTGAATCTGGAAATGCTTTCATTTTCAGAACAGTTCCTATAATTCATTCACCCTCAAAGGCATTCAGTCATTTTGTAGTAACCAAGAGATACTTAATAAGCACCTACTGTGTGCCCAGTAGACCGCTAAACATAGAGCAGTGAACAAGTAGACAAAATGTTCTTGCTATTGTGGAACTTCAATTCTAGTGGGAGGAAACAGACAATAAGTAAATAAGAAATAATTAAGAAACGCATGTTGTACTTTAGATAATGATAAATACAAATAAGGAACAATAAGTGGGCATGGGGGAAAGATGTGCTGAGGCATGTGTTTCTGGAAAGCCTTATTGAAAAGGGAGCATTCAAGGGAGTATCTCGGAGATGCAGAACTCTGGAGACATGAAGGGGATTGGCATCCAGGGCTGAGGGGAAAGGCCTTGAGGTCAGAGCACCAAGGCATGTCTGAAGACCAGAAAGGAGGTGGTGTGACTGGAATAGACTGATGTAGGAGAAGAATAAGAGGTGAGGTCAGAGAAGCAGTGGGGAGCCTCGTTCTGTAGAGTCTTGTTTTCCTTTTTCTCTGAGATGTGAACCTGTTGAAAGGTGTTGAGAGAAGAATGATGTGTCCTGACTTACATTTCCAAATATTGAGATATAATACACATACCATTAAATTCACTCCCCTAAAGCAGTGGTCGGCAAAGTGCAGCTCGCTAGTCACATGCGGCTCTTTGGCCTCTTGAGTGTGGCTTTTCCACAAAATACCACAGCCTGGGTGAGTCTGTTTTGAAGAAGTGATGTTAGAAAAAGTTTAAGTTTAAAAAACTTTGGCTCTCAAAAGAAATTTCAATCGTTGTACTGTTGATATTTGGCTCTGTTGACTGACCACTGCCATAAAGTATACAATGTGGAAGTTGTTAATCTTTTCAGAGTTGTGCAGCCATCAGTATATATAATTCCAGAATATTTTCATCAGGCCAAAAGAAGTCCTGTGTGCTTTAGCAGTTACCCTCAGCCTCCCATCCTGAAGTCCTTGGAAATGAGTAATCTACCTTCTGTGAGCTTGCCAAGTCTAGACATTTTATAAAAGTGGAATCATAAATATGTGGCCTTTTGTGCCCAGTTTTCCTTTCATCTGGCATAGGGTTGTTAGGGTTCATTGATGTTGTAGCCTGCATCAGTCCCTCTTTCTTTTTCATGGCTGAATGGTACTACATAAATGGATATACCAACCCCCCATCAATTGGTTGTTTCTGCCCACATTCCTGTATCCTTGGCTCAAAGAGAGGCAGAACAACCAGTGCTTCATAACTTTACTCTTCTGACAACTTTCCAAAAAGGATACTAATTTGGAGGGATTTTCTTAAACTGCTACCTTCAGAGACCAACAGAAATAAAGTTTTTCCCTTTCCTCTTCTTTTTTTCCACTTAGATTCTATTCAGGTCGTACATACTAATGAAGGATCTTTGTACATGTGAAAAACAGAGGGGAACACCCTCAGATTTCTGAGGAAACCTGAGACTCTGAATCTTTTGGGTTGGATCTGGGATAGGGACATGGGGTGAAGAGCAGGTTGGAGCTAGGGAAGGAAGGAGATGGGTGGTATGTGGAGAGGTGCAGTAGCCAAATAGTCCTTCTAGGCACAGAGTGAGGGATAGGTGTGTGGGCGGGGGTGAGATGTTATAAAGCAGTCCTTGGAGCTTCCATATTTCAGATTCATCCCCTGGACCACAGCTACAGATCTTAACTGGTTTCTGGCCCTAAATTCAGGGAACAGAGAACAGGTGGAGAAAGGATATCAGAACCATCTGCATT